ACCTTGCCTAGAGTGGAGGTCAGAACTCACAGTCCTAGCCTTCCCTGCAGGCAATAGGCAGGGTCACCACCAAGGCTTTGTCCATGGATGGCAGTTCTGTGGGATTTGGGTTGGAGAAGAGCAGAACGAAGAAGCCGTTGCCAGGTGGATCTGAGATTTTGGGAAATGTGGCAGTGGAGGAGTTTGGCTTTTCAGGACAACCATGTGGCCTTTCTGGCATCCGGTCCGCACTATTGCTGAAGTGAGCAGCTGGGTGTGTAGTGAAAAGTGAGAGTCGGGCTTTGGCCACATGACTCCCTGGAGTGGGCCGTGTACTGCTCCCAGTTGCACTGCCTCTGGCCTGAGCTCTGGCCTCCTGGAGGGAGCCGAGCCACAGTTATATACATAAATATATCACAATTTTTATACTTATTCATTTATTTTATTTTGTTGTGTTTTTTTAACTCAGGATCTCATGCATGTTAGGAAAGTATTCTACCACTGAACTACATCCCCAGCCCTAAAAAGAGGTTTATGATATGCTACTGGCTCACGCGGGAGGCTGGGCAGCCAACTGTGAGCTGCAAGCTGGAAAGGCAAAGGCCTGAGTAGTGTATTCAGAGGCTTGAGAATCAGGAATGCCGAAACCCAAAGCTGCAGCTCAAGGGTGGGTAGAGGAAGCCAGAGTCCAGCCTTCTTCCAGCCTTTTGTTCTATTCAGGCCCTTGACAAATGGGACGGTGCTCGCCCTCATTAAAGAGGGGCCTCTGCTTTACTCTTCTACCCATTCACTCGCTAATCTCTTCCACCTACACAGACACATCTAGAACTAATGATAAATACCTGTGGCCCAGTCAGATTGAAATTTACCTTCACACTCTAGTCACACCCTAAGCCCCTAGAGAAGGACTACATTCCAGAGTAGTCTGCAGCTGTGTCCCCAGACTCTAGCAAGACACCTGTCATCTAAGCAAAATTTAGCAGTTACTTACCCAGTGAAGGAACAGATGGGCCGGCAGACCCAGAGCTCTACCAGAGGCGAAGCCATGAGAGTCCCGGGGAGCGTGAAGCCTCAGGCGGATGCCCACCAGCCTCCCATACCCTCCCTTTGAGTGTCACCCCCAGCTGAGGGCAGCCACGTTCTTGCTTCCTGTCCAGCTGGTGGGGAGAGGCTCTTGGGCAGCTTGGTCCATTGTGTTCCAAGGCCTATACCCCAGCCCTCGAATCCTCATCCCGGAAGCCTTTCCTGCTGCTCCTGCCACCACCATGCCCTGTCCTCAGCTCCTACATCCCTGGGACACCTGTTCCTACTCTCACCCAGGCTTAGGTTGCACCCTGGGATCATCCCCACTCCTGTAGGCTCCCAGCACAGAAAGCAGCCCCTTACTTTTATCTCACCTCACCTCCCCGGAGTGAGGAGCCCAGCTCCGCTGGAGGGAAGTTGGAATCCTTTAGCACCTGAGGGAGGCTTCTGGGAAGAGGATGCTGAAGTAGGGGTGGGAAACTGTTCTCCTTACAAGGATCCAGCATCCCAGAGAAGCCCCTGTGTCTCAGTCTTGCACTGTCTCCTCAGCTCTCAGTTTGCTCACCGCTCCTGGCTCTGCAATGCTGGGGTCTGAAGGGGATCTGGGCTGTCCTGTTTCTCCCCCACATCTAGGCCCCTACTGACCAGATGCCTTCTTCCACCAGCTCCTCAGCCTGGGACCCAGGACTCTTCTCCCCACCTCCAGTGTCAGGGCCTCACCCAGGGTGCAGGTCAGCCTGGCCAGAGAACTGGGCTGCAGTTCATCTGCCACCTGGTGGCTGACACGAGCTTTGTTCTTCACCTGCCCCACTGCCTGCCATCCAATTCTGACCAATCCTTCCCTCTACAGCTGTGGAAACTGAGGCGCTCAAGGAGGAAGAGTTTGCCAGACGGGGGACGTGCCGGAAACAGGCATCTTGGACAGACTCCCAGTTCAGGCATTCTCATCTGGGAAGAGACTAGAGAAGTGGTGGAAATTTGAAGCTCTTGAGTGAAATCGGAAGGAACAAGAAGGAGACTTGCAGCCATGGGTGGACCACTAAACAAGGGATGGATATTCACAAAGCAAGCTCTTCTGCCACTATTGGCACCAAAAGTAACTGCCAACACTAACCAGCTGCTAGTTAATATTAACTCACGCTAACCACTGACAAGCCACGACTACTAGCTAACATTAGCTACTATTGCTAACTAGCTAGCCACTACCATTAACACCTCTAAATGCTAACACTAATTGCTAATTAACACTAATCTTTAATTAATCCCTAACATTAACTAACACTAACCACTAACACCATTATGTTAACACTTCTACCAACCGTTAAAACTCAGAGTAGAAAAGATGAGTTTAACGATGATAACAATATTGACATTTTTTTCAAGAATACACGAGAGCAACTTTTCTGAGAGCCGATGCACATCATGTGCATCGCATTGGCTCAAAAAGCCCAGGTGTAGGGGAATTTATTCTGAAATTCTGGTAGTTTATGCTAAAGTTTTTTGGAGTGTACATGAAGAATTATATGCAAGGAAGTTTATTATCACAGCTATCTACTTAAAAATAGGGATCAAATTTCACCAATAGAGGGTTTGTTAAATTAGTACTGGTAAAGGAAAAAATATTATACAAACTTTACACATTCTGGGGCAGAAAACTTTCTACACGTGTGCCACACAGTGTCCATTTACTTTTTTAAAATATCAGCTTTATTGAGATATCGCACATACCATAAAATTCACTCTCCCTCAGTGTACAATTCTGTCTCTTCTTGAAAATTCACAGTTTGTAGCCATCACTACTGTCTAATTTTAGAATATTTTATCACTTCAGAAAGAAATCCTGTACCCATTAGCAGTTTGTCTATCCCAGACATTTCATAGTAATAAAATGGAATCATACATGATGTGGTGTTTGTGATTGTTTCTTTCACTTAGTACAGTATCTTCCAGTTTGTACATGTCACTGTAGGTTTTAGTATTCCATTCCTTTTTATTATGGAATTCCCATTCTGTCATATGGACATACCACATTTTCTTTATCCATTTTCTTTCATCTGGCCCTCAGTTGATGAGTATTTGGGTTGTTTCCACAACTTGACTATTGTGAGTAATGACGTCATGAACATTTGTATGCATGTTTTTGTGTAAATATATGCTTCCCATCCTCTTGGTTAGATCCCAAAAAGTGCATTTTCTGAGTAAATCAACGTTTGGCTTTTTGAGGACCTGCCAAGCATTTTACCACTGCAGCGGACCATTTTAGGTTTCCACAACAATTCATGAGCGTTCCAATTTCTTCACATTCTCAGCAGTACTTGTTATTTTTCCATTTGTTCCATTTGCACCGGAGGTGTTAAGCAGCATTTCATTCTGGTTTTGATCTGTATTTTCCTAAGGATGAATGGTGTTGAACATCCTTTTACATGCTTTTTGGCCATATGTAGGTCATGCATTATTTTTAAGCATTAAAAACAAGATGCAAACTTACAAATAGATTACGACTTCAAGATGTTTCAAAAATGCGGAGAAAATCCCTTTTAGGAAACAAAAAGAAATATCAATGATGAATGTTGCAGGGTAGTATGATTACGGTTGATTTTTCTTTTCTTTTTAAATTCTTCCTATATCCTTCAAATGCCTGCGAGGAATGTGAATTACTTTTATGGCCAAGATAAAGGAAGGAATGCACGATGGGTTTTCAAGCCCACATTTTGACTCTGACATTTGTCTGACCAGGCAGGAGTTAGGCAGCTGGGCATCACGAGTAACAGTGTGACCTTGGGTTTCACATAACTGTATCTCCCTTCACAGGAACCTTCGTGAGTGTGAGGGAGGAGGATGTGCCTCCGCCTCTACCACACACACCCACACATACACACACGTGCACCAGCAGCCTGGCTCTTGTGCTCATAGCGCATAAGAAAGGAAATATGATCTAGGCAGGCCATGGAAGATAAGCAGATCCTTTATGCAGAAAAAGATCTCTGGGACAGGAGAGCTCAAACACGGTCCAGGGCAAAGCAAATGGCACCTAGCTATCAGCCCAAATGGGCATGGGCGTGGATTTAGATTCTCAGGGTAGCAGGGGGAAGGAGGAATGTTAAGCAAGGTTGGTGTAGCTCGGGAAGGCTTCCTGCAGGCAGGAAGAATGGAGCAAGACACACCTGCTGTGGGTAGACCAAGCAAAGGGCAGATTTCATTCTGACCTGGTGCCCGTGGGCTTGTTCTCTGTACTGAGATCCTTCCACCCCATCAGTCAGTGAACTGGTGCCCCCAGACAGCGCCTGGCTTTCTTTCTCTTCTCTCTTGTCAAAGGGAAGTGGGATGGGTGGTGCTGCTGTGTCGCACCAGGCTGGGGGCAGCAGGCAACAGGCTGGGACACAGGAGGCACACAGCGGGGAGGACATAAAAGAAGGAAAGGCCTAGAGTTGAGAAATCTCTACCCAGAGGAAGACAGGGAAAGAGACTCAAGTAATTCCTAGAAGAACATACCCACAAGGCTAGCAGGCACCCTAAGAGATGTTCACACTTGTCCAACATCAGGGAAATACAAATGAGAACAGCAATGTGCTGCCACTGTACGCATGCCACTGGCTTGCAAACATTAACAATCTGGAAAAATACCAAATGCTGGGGGCTGTGGGCACTGGGGAACCTGAGAGCTGCTGGTGGGAGTGCTGATTTGCAGCTGCTTTCTGGCAGTGCTTGAACTTATCACGTCATGAGAGGTATGACTGATGCTCCAGGGTAAGTGCTGGAGGAAGACTTGTTCCACTGGCCCATAAGGGACACACAGATGGATGTCTACCTAGAGGGAGGGGACAGGTAACCCATGGGGAATGGCACCATGTGGCGCATATGCAGTCAAAACAGTGGACCAGATGTATACACAGCAACATGGGAAGAGGGATCTCTTAAAAGCACAATGCTAAGGAGGAAATGTTAGTAGCAGGATGAGGCATATGACGGATAGCATTTATATACATTCAAAACAGACATATGAAACACTTCGCTTTTATCAAAGGCAAAAAACACAAGGATTCACATTAAACCCATTGGCTTGTGTGCCTGTGGGAGGAGGGGAATGGGAGTGGAGGTGGGGACCAAAGAAAATACATTTTAAAAATAAATGAGCATGAGGGTCCTGACAGAGACTAGTGATGATAATACAGCATGAACCAAGGTGATAGATGCAACTCTATCAACTGGAAGTCCAAACAAAAAATGCAGATCCATCCCTTCAGAAGAGCATTCACTCACTCAAACGTGTCATTCATGTACAAGTTTATTGACTCCTCCAGGCATTGGGCTATAGCCCTGGACCCAAAGAAGAGGACCTCAGTAAGAGACACAGAGTAACCAAGGGAGTCAGAAGATGGCATACGCAGACATAAGCCAGCTGCAAAGTCAGGGTGGCAGCACCGCCCCTGCCCAGAGCTGGGTAGCAGCATGGTGTGAGGGCTCCTAGACTCTCTTCTCCAGACGGCGGTGGGCACCATGCAGCTTTCCAAGCCCAGGTGCAAGCTCCAGTTGTGTGGAGTGGCCTAGGACACGGATGTCATCACCTTGGTCCCTACATGAGAAGGTACAGTCCACTTCGTACAGGTCCTTCGTGCTGGCAGAAGTTCAGGGTCACGGCTGTGCCACTTGCGTGAGATCTCAGTCCTCACCTCCAGAGACAAGGAAGAGGATGTTAGGAAGATCCCATTGCCATTCACTACTCAACCTCATGAGGCTGAGGGGCAGGGAGGGGCTGTGTAGGAAAACAGCAGACAAGAAATGCCATGGTTGTCACAGGCACTGACTGCTCAGCATTGTCTACAGAGGACACTACTTCCTCCTTCCTCTGAGAACATTTTGCCATTGTCTTTCTTTCATTTTCCTTCCTTTCAGTACTCTTTTGTCTGAACCCAGTTAATCTCATTTATGGGTACTTTCTTGAGTTCCTGGGCAAACCTCTACTCTGTCCCCCTGAATGACTCCGACCTCCCCCTCCTTGGGGGCTCAATTCTGTGAGCTGAGGTGTACCCATGGGGAATCTGTCCAGAGGACATGAATGAAGAAAGGGAAGACCAAACTTCTGTCTGAGGGACTACAGTCAAGAAACCAGAAAGCAAAACTGCCTGGGGAAGAAGGAGGGGGAGGTTGTATCTTCACATCTCTGCAGGGTTGTCGGGGACAGAGGGAGTCAGGGGGCTGCACCCACCTGACAGAGCTGAGCTGGGGCTTTAAGTAAAGATAAAAGGGAGACAGATTCTGTTCACATGAAGATGATCTTCCTACAGCTGCCCCCGAACAGGAAGCACTAGTGGGAATAGTAAACTCCTTGTCATCAGAGATATGTAACCATCTGGTCTCCAACACTGCTCCCTGAGGTGATTCACTTAAATGTCCTATAGAAACTCCTTTCCCAGACCCATTAGCCTCACCTTGGCTTGCTCTTGGAAATTCCCAGGCCCATGACCTGCAACGCCCAGGCACTGCAGTTCTGTGTCTGCATCCCAGAGCCAGAGAAGGCTGCACAGGGCTCAGAGAGGCTGGTCTGGGAGTGCAGAGAGTCAGGAGGAAGGGAGCAAGGGAGCGAGCGGTCAGGGACAGAGAGGGCAGGTGAGGCAGGGAGCAACACTTCCCAGTCAAGGTTTAGGGCAAGTGTCACTGGGTCTCCATAGAAGGCAGAGCCCTTGACAAGTCTATGGCCACCAGGGGGAGCCATGACCCTGCTTGTATGCACTGTGAGGGCCTCCTCATCTTGTCTCTGAGCTCCATTCCCCCACTTCTCTGCCCAGAGCAAGATGTCACACTGGGAAAATCCATGGGGTCCTCTGCATGGCCTTCCCTTTCCATCCACCTGCATCTTCCACCATTCCACACGTGCCACAGTGCTTCTACTCTGTGCATTCATTCTACCTCCAATTCTGCTTGGTCTAGTCTTTTTGTCTCTTTCTTCTAGGATCTTTCAGTTTCCAGTGCTGTGCTTTGGGTCTTCCTCACTGCCTCTGAATCGGACTCTGTTTCCTAGCTCCCTGTATGCCTACCTCTGATTGTCTTGGTTCCTCCATCTCTGTTTGCTCTCCCTGTACCTTCCCCAGCAGGCATACTCCCTCCCCAACTCTCCCTTGAGCCCTGAAAGATCTCCTCCCACCTCTTGACAAGTAGACAGTAGAACTTGGCTCAGAACAGAGGAGGGATGGATAAAAGATGTCTACAGAAAGCATTCGGGTTTTGCTTGATCCAGGAGCTCAGGAATGATACCCACTAAAGATTGAAAGAATGGAGGATGACGAGAGCCAACCTGAGATGAGAGAGGGGGCCTTAGGACTGGTGGCAGGGGGAGCTCCATGAGTTAGGGAAAGCAGAGAGAGTCACACACCTCTTGGTTGAGGAAGCAGTAGAGGATGGCAACGATGAAGCCCTGTGGGACCACAGGAAAAACTCTATCAGAATAGTTTGACCTGCCCTCAAGGTGTGCACAGGCTTTTTACTGCCTTCCCATCCACCCCCAGACTGTGGCTTAGGCCAGGTCTTTGTGAAAAGAAAATTCAGATACATTAATCACTATGCCAGATATATTGTCTTATGTAATCATCATAGTAAGCCACCCAGGCCTATACTGCTAGCCTTGTCTCTCTTTCTTTGTTTCTACATCTTCTATCAATGAGTGCATTATTCAGTACATAATAGGTGCTCAGTAAAGGATGGATGGATGGATTGATGGATGAGTGGATGGATAACTGGATGGCTGTGTAGGATAGTTGAATGAATAGAGAGATAGCAGGATGGATGGAAGATGGACAGACAGATAGTTGAAGAGATGGATAAATATTAATAGTCCTCACCCAATTGTGAAGTTAGCCAAGACCTCCCACCTAAGTACCTGCAGGGAAAAATCACCTGTGTGGCCCTCACCTGGAAAGATCCCAGCCCCAGCTCCAGGGGGAGCCGAATGCCCAGGCCAGCGTCATCAGGCAGAAAGTTAAAGATAATGTAGTGAATTCCAAACAGTGGGATAAGGAGAAGCGTTGACTTCGACAGACGCCTGAAGGGAAGGAAAATCCCCACAGGCACCATCAGTTACACTGTCCAGCACCTCCACACATCTACCCTGAGCATCAGCCACCCCAGAACACTCCATCCTTCCACATTTCCCTGGCCTTCCTTGCTATGGACCATCAAATTTTGTCCTAGTTTGTTCCAAATACTGTGCATTTTTGAAAGTCTAGTAGTTCAAAGGCCACTTTCTCCTGGAAGCTCTCCCTGAATACCTCTGTCCCTGATCTACAAGGGACCTCCATTTCCAGATCCCTGTTGAAACTGGTGCAGCTCCTAGCCTGTGTGGCTTGGTCACTGATGTTTTGGAGTCCCTGCCTTTCCCACACTGTCGTCTCCTGGGGGTCAGGGTCACATCTAGCCTCTCTAAGGACATAGGGAAGAGGATGGGGTTGGGGTCATAAATGCCTGCCTGGTGTGCGACAGAAGCACATTGAATCATTTCCTCTATATCTCTTCCCCTAGTCCTTCAACACACACACACACACACACACACACACACACACACAGTACCAGTACTGAGAGTGCGGGTGCTGGCTGCCTTGTGCGGGCTCCAGTTTCCTCAGCAGGATACGGATGATATTGAGAAAAAGACCAAAGTTCACCTAGAAATGAGGTGTGGAACGATGGAGAGCAAGGGCCAGGGCCAGGGCTTGCCCTAGGTGGCCCCAGCCACTTTTGGGGAACTAGAAATCCCAAATCCTTGAGCCATGGGAATGTGCTGGCGGATGGATGCACTGATGGTTGCTCTAAAACAGTGAATCTATGGCATGTGTGCCACAGAAAGCTGTTTGTATCACTAAAGCTCTAAAAAGTTCACCATCATTGCTCTAGAATAACATAGCCTGAGACTTGGAAGTCCCCCATGGGGACCTTGGAGGGCAGAGGAGGGCTCAGGGAACCCTCCTTCTTCACCCTGGGAACAAAAGTGAGAGGGTCAGGCCTCTCCACCTGCCTCCAGACACCAGTCTTCTCTTTCACATGTCATGCCTATCACTGAACAATTGCTATGTTGACAAAAATCCCCATGTACACGGAGCCATACAAGGCCATGCTCATGGCCTCATGTTCTGAGTGGGAACCAGGTAGGTGCAGGATTCCTCAACTCCCCACCCCAGCTTTTCACTCAACAGTGCATCCGTCAACGGGAACTGAGCCAGAAGGCCCAAGTGTGAGTGGAGCTCACCGGGGTTGACCAACAGGGTCCTAAGGCTGGAAGAGGGCCGCCTGGAGAATCAGCAGACCAGGTGAGCCCGGGTTTCCTGACTCCCAGCCTGGATCCTGTTTCCTGTTGTGTGAGGCCCTTCTACAGACTGAGGGAGGCTGGCTGAATAAAGCAAAGGACACTGGCCTCAGGCACTGACCCCAACAGAGAGGACGATGGGCCCTTTGATGATCCACCAGTAGGGGGAGCTGTCGTCTAGGTCCCAGCACCTGGGGAGAGGACAGTCCACGGCTGAGGCCAGCATCCCTTTCTGCAATAACCAACCCCTTCCCTCTCTGCGCCCAGGCTCCTCTCCTCTGTGACCTTCACACCTTACATCTCATTTCACCTCCCTCTAGCTTTATCTTCTGTCTCACCCACATAGGCCACCTTCCAATGGGAAACCCTAATCTATGCTGGGCTCAACTTCTCTTCTCTAAAATCTGTCTGTTTCCTTGCTGGCCTCGCACATCCTGTATTCCAGAGGACCACTGAGGGCTTCCCATCCCCTCCCCATCCTGGCAGCCCTGACAACCCCCCCTCCCCTCCCCGACCTGTGCCTGCCCCTGCTGAGCTATCTGCAGGCAGCCCCCTCCTCCACCTCACCAGAGCTGGAAGTTCCTCCTCTCTTTCCAGGCTGGAGAAAAGTCATGGTGCCTGGCCATCTGATCTAGCCCCTGTCCACCAGGTATGGTGGTAAGGCAGCTGCTAGGACTCACGCGACATCCTCGAAGGCCAGCTTGCAGCCCACCCAGGTGCCTGTGCATAGCACGGGGAGCCCTGGGCACAGAAAAAATTTGAGTAAAGCGTCTGTTCCTATGGCTCTGAGATCAACTCCCTACCTCCCACTGCTATTGCCGGCCACACCGGGACTGCAAAGGCAGGACTAGCAAGTCCTTAGGCAACACTTACCAAGACAGTAGGGTTGTAGCCCATCCCCTCCCCTCTCTGGGCCTCAGGGCCACCACTAGTGACATGAAGGCCCTCCCTGTGAGCTCCGCAGGCCTTCCTAGCCCTCAGTGCTCACCCCAGCCAGCAAGAACCAGCCACCAGAAGGCTGTCCTGGAGCTGGGAGATGTGGAGGCCAGGAGGCAGCTCAGGTAGACAGCTTCTGCCAGCAGCCAGCTGAAGTTGGTCATGGTGGCAAAATGGGAGGCAGCCACAGAGACCTTGCACAGGACCTGGGGGCCAGAGACCTGGATGCTTCGTTACAGCCCCCAACCAAGCCTTCCCCTACCCCACTGAGACCCTGGACCTCTAGGCTCCCTCCACCTCCAGCCAACTCCAGGGGCCTTCCCCAGACCAGATAGGGCAGTAGAATGCAGTGGGTAAGAACACAGATATGGGATCTCGATAGCCTGGGTTCAAGCCTATCACCTATTAGGCATGCAAACCTCCTCATATTTTAGCGTTCTACCTGTGAAAATAAAAGTTCCTGGTGCCTATATCATGGCTCCATCACTGTGGAAACTCTGCATAAGCACTGCTACCACTCATCTGCCCTTTCACCCATCCTTTTGGAGCTATAATGACAGACCATGGATCCTCCCACAGCTCAGAGCTGCAGACACCCAGAACAGGACTCATTGTGCATGTACACATTTGCTCACCTGCACTGTGAGCAGCAGCATGGCCTTGAGACCTGAAAGCCCAGGGTCTGACCCAGCCCCTCACCTTGCCTGCTGCCCCATATTTACAAAACTGGCCTAAAGGCATGCTTTTGTCCTGTAAGACTAAAGGAGATCATATGTGTAAAGCACTTAGCATGCTTCCTGGCACATATATGTGCTCAATATACTCAATTATTAATGCTTTCATTAATTAATTCAGGTCATCTGTGCATTTGTTCATTCACTGATTGGTTCACTACAAGCCTACTTTGGGCTCAATTGCAAACAGCGGAGTAGGTGCTCAGCCTCCACACTGCCCCATCCCTACTCTCCCTGCTTCACCTCTGCCTTCATGACTTTCTATCTGGTGGCCACGCTCCAGGCTCTTCTGTCTTTGAGTGTCTTAACTCTAATCTCAAGTCCTTCCTTCTGGCCTGCACATCGCTGACACCGACCTAGCTCTACAGCCACTTTCTCTCTGAAGCCCTTCAGGTCTCCCCAAGCCCTCAGCTTCCTCCACCAAGAAGTCCCCAAATCTATGCATGTGAGGGAGCCCAGGGCCCCACAGGATGGCACAGGCACACCTAAGCCTGTCATCTGGCCTTCTCTCCTCCACTACCCCTCCCCCACCACGGCCTTTACGGTGGAGAAGCTGCAGTGCTCTGTGTCGTTGTGGAAGAGGGTAGCGTCCTTCAGGAACACGGCTCCTGCCTTGAGGATGAAGGTGGCGAACAGCTGGGTATGGATATAGTTCCGAGGACAGTGGAGCCTCCTGGAAGGGTGGGGAGAGATGAGGGACAGCTGGCCAGCAGGGAGAGGGGCTTCCGGTGCCCTCAAGAGGGGCCTGGCTTGGCTGGGCTAAACTGAGCAGGAGGTAAGTGGAATTGAATGAAAATGAATCAGATCAAGCCAAATCAAATGGAATCAAGCCCAACTAAATTGATCTTGATTGAGCTGGCCTTGACATTTTAGCCTTGCTGCTCGGCTGACTAGCTGTTGTCCTGGGCTCTGGCAAAGAGTCAGGAGCAGAGGAAACCACTCATCCTTGCCACAGGAGTTCCCCTTCTGGGGCTCTGGGGCTGAAACAGGCCCTGGGTTATCAGAAAGACATCCCCACTGCAAGCAGAGGCCTTCACCTGCCAGATGTGTGCTCAGACTTTGAAGACTGTAGAACCGTTAAAGCAAACAGTGGTCTGAGGATTAGAATAATCAAGAAGGGCTGGGCTTTCACTTTGGGGAGATAAACGTAAGTGAGGGAAAAGCCTTCCAAGAAAACAGTGTGAGCTCTAGGTAAGCAAAGACATGGCTGTAGGATGAGTTTTTCGTGTGTGAAGAGATGGTCTACATGTTGGGGGAAAGGGCAGACATGGGCATGATGCCTAGACCCGGGAACCTCTTAACTATCCTGGCAGAGTCACACTTGGTCCTCCGGGCGATGGGGAGCCAATGAAGGTTGCTGAACAGTTGGTGAGGATGGCAAACCTGAGAGCAACCAGGATGGCAATGGCCACAAAGAGGGCTACAACAGAGATGCTATGGCCCATGGTGTAGATGATCTTCACAGTGGAGAAGTAAGATTTCTGGGGAGAGTAGACAGAAGAAAGTGTCAGCACTGGGGGAAGGGAGACTTGTCAATCAAGCAGGAACAGACTTTGCAGCCCACCCAGCCTCTCCCCAGGGCAGAGGTGTCTGTGGGCAGCACTGGAAGCACCGTGTGAGGGAAGCTTTTGCTCGAGACCTGTCTCCACCTGCTCTGCTGGGGCCTGACGGATGGAGACGAAGGGCATTGCTGCTGCTCATCCCTGGGGAGTGACAGAGCCCAAGAATAAACTAGTCGTGCTTACTGACATCCAGCTCACTTGCCAGCTTGGGAACAAAACGTCCCGCACAAACGGGATGGCCAAGACACTGGGGATAGCCGCTAGCGGGCAGGGAAAAGCTCTGTCTGGGCCTGAATTTGGGGTTCAATCCTGGCCACCACCTGGCCCCTGTCCTCACTCTCCTGCCCCCTCAGCTTCAGTCTCCTCATAAAAGAATGGCCACACTCCTGCTGGACCTCTCAGGGTTAAGGGGAAGAAGAAACAGGGCTGTGAGTGTGCACGTGCCTGCCCAAGGCCCTGCTCCTCGTGCAGAACAGGAGGTGCTGGCTGGAGTCAGGGTCCCTGTGATCTCCGTGGGCCTGAGTCACTCCCTTGCCCACATCATGGCTGTGGTCACTTCCCCATAGGCTGAGGACCAGGGAAGGGAAGGATCTTGCCCAGTGCAGCCTGCAGCCTGGGTTTTCTGTGGAACCCTTTGGCTCCCTGCCCTAGAGGTCTAGGCATGAAGGGGTTCACCAAGGAGGTGGGAGCCAGCACATCTCCCATCCACCTTCTGCCTCCCTTCTCTCTCCAACAAGGTGGCCCATGTGTCACCCTGGAGCAGTTAGCAAATGACCTCATGGCACCAGGCACTTTAGCGCCCTCTGTTGGATGACTGCCACCCACCCTCACAGTCTGGGCTTGGAACCCAGACTTTCACACTGACCTATATCCACAGTCTTTTCTAAAATTTTTTTGAGACAGTCTCACTCAGTCACTAAATTGCCCAGTTTGAGCTTGAATTTATGATTCTCCTGCCTCAGCCTCCCAGAGTGTTACAGATATGTGCCACCATACCTGGCTACTGCTGTAATTCCAACTCCATGGCTAGAATGGAAATAGCAGCCCATCCCCACTCCCAGTTGTGCAGTCCATCCATCACTCATACAAATGTCCATGGCAACCCCTTCTCCAAGATGCCCAAAGCCTTTTACCTCCTCAGCCAGCAACTCCAAGGGCACAGGGCAGGCCTCGGGGTAAGGTGGGAAGGGATCTGACCACCCTGTGATGGTACAATCCCGCTTCACAGCCCCTGGGGGAAAGCAAGAATCTGGTCACCATGGTTCCTCCCCTCTCTCAGGAGGGGTAGAAGGAGTCCTGGACCATAGCAGGGTTTGCACAGGCAGTCCTTGGTGGAAGAAAGAGTGAGGCCCTCTGAGGGCCCAGTCCTGATCTAGCCCTCTGAGCCACACTCTGGGGCCTTCCCTCTCCAGCCTCCAAGTGCCCCCTGTTAACAGAGAGAACCATTCCTTGAAGGGCAGAGAAATGGTGAGTTGATCTTCAGCATCCTAAAGGCACCAGGAAAAAAGGCAGCCCCTCTCTGCCCTGGAGGGGCACTGCCCCCAGATACCCAGGCCAGGTAGGTAGGCCGCAGCAGGTGCATTTGAGAACCCAGCCAAGCCCAGTCCTCCTCCACCCTTGCAGCCGGGCCTCCTTCTACCAGCTGCAGAATGGCTGGCTGGTGCCAACCACACATCCACTATGTTTGTGCTCTGCTCTCTGATCCTCCCCATGTCAGATTAGTGTCTTCTTCTTGTCCAGGAGCGGGCAGGGGTCAGGGTCACACCAGCAGAGGGGAGGCTGGCATTCAAATCCAGGTCTGCCTGCCTCCAAAGTCAGTGATGTGCTCTCTAGGTTGTGCCACTACCCCAGGTGAAGCTGCCTCGCCTCCCCACCATGCGCACAACCAGGACCTCTCACCTGGCTCTGAGCTGAAATGAGAGAAGAAATCTGGGCAGGGCAGGGTGACCCACTCTCCAGAGGCTGTCGCTGGCCAGCACAGCAGCCCATCCCAGGTCCTAGGGCAGCCTGGATGGAAAGATGGGAGACACAGGGGTAGCCCTGCCCAGGGGACCAAGGGGCCGGCTGGTGGCTGGCCCCATACTCCGAGAGGTGAGTCTGGAGGAGAGAGCGAGTCGGGGATGCCAGCACACCCTCTCAGGTCCCTTACTTAGGGAGGTGTTGGGCAGCCCCTCTGCCGCCTGCAGACATGAACTCTCGTCCTCTCGAAGCCGGGTGAGGAGGTCACATTCTGGGTGCACATGTCCCTGCACCTGCAGGAGGGTGAGCAGGATGAGCCAAGCCAGCTGAGTGCTCCCTCTGGGCTCTCTGCCCACGGGGCCTGAAGACAGAGACAGAGCCTGATTCATTTCTGTGCCCCGGTCCTAAGCACAGGCCTGCTTCACAGTACTTACAGGTCTGTCTCAAGGTCCTTCAGATGTGTGGAAGGAAGGAAAAAAGGGAGTAAGGGAGGAATGGAGGGAGGAAGAAAGGAAGGAAGGAGGAGGAGAGAAGGAAGGAAAGAAGGAAAAAAGGAAGGAAGGAGATAAAGAAGAAAGGAAGGATAGAAGGAAGAAAGAAGAAAAGGAAAGGCAGGCAGAGGTTTGAGCAGATGCTTTTCCTTTTCATCTCATGGAATTACTTTCTGAAGCACATTACACAAATTCTCCTGAGCGTCTCACAACAGCTCAGCGCCCGCAGTGCCTTTCCCCTACCCTGCATTACTCTCCCATCCTGCACTCCTCACCCTGGAGGCAATTCTGTTTAACTACCTTGGCAGACAAGATAATGGCCCCAGAGATTCTGTGAGCTAATCCCTGAAGCCTGTGCATATGTGACCTTGCATATTCACAAAGTCAAAAGGACACTGCAAGGGCCGGGGATTTAGCTCAGTGGTGCCAACGCCTGTCTTGCAAGCAGAAGGTCCTGAGTTCGATCCTCGGTACCAAAAAGAAAAAAAAGGACGCTGCTGATATAAGCGAAGAATCTTGCTGTGACTCAATGTTATCACAAGGGCCTTATAAGAAGGAGGTGAGAGGTCAGAGTCAGAGAATTAGATTTGATGATGGAAGTAGGGGGAGGAAGGGAAAGAGGTTGAGATGTAATGACACTGCAAGCCGAGGAAAAGGCAAGGAAGTGAATTCTCTCTTACAGACTCCATAAGGAACACAGCCCTGCCAATCCCTTGATGCTAGCCCCCTGAAAACCATCCCAGACTTTCAGGGGCCTGCAGGCAAAGATGCGGGAGTATATGCGTAGGTTAGTAAGTGAGGGAGTGCATGGATGAGTGAATACATGACTGAGGTGAAGGAGCAAGTGAATTTGATGTGCAAATGGATGGATGGACAGGTGGATGGATGGGTGGATAGATGTGTGGGTAGGTAGATGGGTGGGTGAATGGGAGGGTGGATGGATGGATGGATGGATGGATGGGTAGATGGATGGATGGATAGGTGGATGGATGGGTGGATGGATGGATGAATGGGTGGATAGATGTGTGAATAGGTAGATGGGTGAGTGAATGTGTGGGTGGATGGATGGATGGGTGGATGGATGAGTGGATAGATGTGTGGGTGGGTAGATGGGTGGGTGAGTGTGTGGGTGGATGGATGGATGGGTGGATGGATGGATAGGTGGGTGAATGGGTGGGTGGATGGCGAGATGGATGGAGATGGATGGATGGATGGACAGGTGGATGGATGGATAGTACATGAGTGAGGTGCTGTATCAGAAGGGTGTGTGGGTAGAATGATGGATGGATGAATAAAAGGATAACCGTCTCCATGTGTGGCTTAGCAATCATGAAGGATTATAGCTTTAGGGGCTTCCCAGAATCTGGTGCTACCCAGGGACCACAGGGAATGATATCTGGAAACTGGACAGCAAGTTGTCTCTCTGGCAATATTTCTGAAGGTGTGCCTCATAAACCAACTGAAGACCAACAGGAATGGCACCAGAGATACACAGAGTCCTGTAGAGGACTGAGGACTTGGCATTTCAGCAAATTCTCTAAGAAGCTGGGAGTCAAAGATAGGACTTCTAACACCTCTTCCTCCTACTCCCCCAGCCTACAGGAAAATGAAAACTGAACAGAGCACTGAATAGGTGAGAGTGACTTTCTTATACAATCAGCCTGATTGTCACCCTGTGGGTTTGGAAAGCTGTGGCCTCTGTCCTTCACTCTATTGTCTGGGAGCCCCATCTCTTCCTGGATGTGTTCTCAGGGACTGTCTGGGGGAATCACTAAGCCCAAAGGAACTGGCGCCCCAGTGAGGAGCCTCCACCTAAATGACAGGCGCAGGATCCCTGCACTTCCTAAAAGAGGGGAAAATTCAGGGAGGCTTGAGAGCCCTGGGATGTTTGGTCCCAGAGGCAGCTGTCAGGTGGACGGTGTAAGGAGGGACAAAGAGATGAGGCTGGAGGGATGGCCAGACATCCAAATGCTCCTGCTGAGTCACCCCCATGCTCATGTCAATCTCTACCTCCTCCGGAGGAGGGACCCATCACCGTGGATGCCTGACCTTCCTGCCTGTGATGCTGCACATCTAAGGGCTCTGTGGGGCTAGAGCCCACAATGGGAGATGATTTGTTCTAGCTCTGGTGTTGGCACCAGCACCCACTGCTGGGTGGCCCCACTGACCTGAGGCCCTCTGCGGAACATGGAGCTTTTGCTGTAAGGTACACACAGAGGAGAGGAAGGGGGTGGGCAGTGGAAGATACCTGCGTTGCACCCTGTACCCAGTCCTGAAAAATCAGACCCCATTTACTATACAGCCTGGTAAACAGATCGGATTTCCTCTTTTTGTTCAAGAGACAAGGGAGACTCAGGAAAGGGAAGGAATTTGCCCCTGATCACACAGTTTCATGGCTCCAGGACTCTGGCTTAAAGCCTATGCACCCAGGGTGCTGGGAGGGGTACTTTCCCCAGGGCAGAGCAGTGGGGGTAGAAGGAGATCTCCATCAACATGCCCTCCCCGTCTTATGACTCCCTTCCTAGTCCCTGTTGTCACCTGCAGTGACCTGGAAAAGCTGCTGGGAGCCTGCAGCACACAGGCTGTGCCTCTGTCTTGTACACCTGCTGCAGTGTTCCAGGCCTCAAGCTTCTCCCACCCAGGGCATCATGGGAGGAAGAGTGGTTCCTCTAAATGCACAGCAGGAGCAGCTGGTATCCACTAACTACTCAGACCTACTCAGGCTCTGGAAACATTTTCAAAGGAAACAGCCAAATTGATGGTGGTAGAAGAGTCAGAGGGGGTAGGAAGGCCCTGAGACCTTTAGCAGGGAGCTTGTGGCAATGGTTGGGCTGCATGGCTTAGAGAAAGAGCACATGAGTGGGAAGGAGAGGGCCTGACCATACCTCCCCATTGCGAGGCACTGTCTCAGGCCCCACAGGGTCTTCATGGGCCCCAAAGGGTACAGCCAGGTCCTGGGGGAAGCACCAGGAAGGTAAGATCAGCTTAGCTCCAGGAAGAACACCTTAACAATCAGAGCAGAATTGCTGGAGGAGGGCAAGGGAATCCTGCAAGCCATAGCTGGCCACCCACTTCATGACTCTCATGCTGGGGGAGGACAGTGGGGTCTCCAGCTGGACCCCTGAATGCCCTGTGCCTCCCAGACCTGGATCTGTGGAAGAGGCTGGAGGGTCTGAGCTGGCTACTCACGGCTCCTGGTGGGCTCCACAAGCAGAGGACACAGACACCCCACATCCAGCTGTCCATGGTTGTGGCTGAGCAGGGGCTCCCTCGGCCAGAATCAGTGAGGCTTGGCTTGCTTCTCTCCACCCTGTCCCCTGCTGCTGTGAGCACACTGTCTGGTCTGCCTTTCCTCCCCAGGTGGCTGTTTGCATAGGCAGGAGCAAGCAAAAGGGACACACCACTAAATATTCACCAGGATGGCAGCACACTGCCCAACTCAGCCTGGCCCTGGGGTGGGACTCCATGTCCTCAGCACAGAGGGGCTAAGCCTCCACCCCCAGCCCCTTTCACTCTGCCTCTAAGTACAGAGTGTCTCCTGACAGCAAGGACCCAGAGCCCAGGGAGGTAACAACTGCAGGACTTCATGCTCCAGCAGGTCAATATTCTTTACCATGTGGTTCCCTGAGCCAGCTCTTTGGTGGCCTGCACTGGAGAGTCCTGCCCCCACCTGCCTCAGAATGACAGGAGCTCAGAAAATGGGAAGAACACCCTGGCCCACCTCCAGGAAGCCCCCATGTTGGTTGGTGCTCCCAGCCTGATCCACAAGGCTGGCAAGGTGAGATCAGAGCTTGGGGACCCCAGCAAAGATGGGACAGGTGTCAGTGAGGACTGGAAAGTTGGAATGAGCTGTGATTACTAAGCGCTGGCATAGGCTGACCAGGACTGTGCTGCATTGGCAGGACCCAGCTTCTTTGCCTAGCAAGGACACCAGCCTGAATGTGCTATCTGCACATAGCAAGACTCCTGAGTTCACATAGAGCATATCAAAGTCCCCCCAGATTCCTCATGTCGGGAGGGGGAAAGGAGGCTGATTGGAAGGCACACGGAAGGATTCCTGGAGCTAGGCCACCTGGAACAGGGCAAGACAGCTATCTTCTTCAGCCACAAAAATGAGAGAACTCACACAGCCACTCACATTATTTTGAACATGCATTGTCTGGTCATTTTTGTTATAGTTCATGACCATAAAATGCAAAAGCTCCGTGGCCAAGCTAAAGACGATGTTCTAATCTAGGCTGGAGCTTCCTGGCAGTTTGGAATTTGAAAGCAGATTGCATGTTAGAGGGCCCCGGATGTTCCCGGAGTGGATGGGTTCTAATGACTGTGCAGCTCTCCACTCCCAGAGGGTGTTGGGCTGTGTGCTAGGGACACCAGATGTGTTTACAGTGTGTCATGAATGTGGAAGCCTTCTCGCCCCCGCCACATCTGGATTTAGAAATCATTTGACATCAACGGAGCTTTATTTTTCCACTTGTATTCATTGTCAACAGAATGTTGAAAAATATTTTGAAAAGAAAATATGAAACACTCCAAGGCTTCAGCCCCCACCTGTCCTCGTGTCCAAGTTTTTATGAGTGTAGCCATTTGCAGGACAAGTGGCACTCCACACAGAGCTCAGCACATTTCCCCAGGGCAAGCAGAGCTCCTCTCTCAGCAGGCTGAGGACTCATGGGCTGGGACACCAGAATGCCGAGAAGGTGTAATAGAAATGTATTCCATGGCCTTAGAATAAAAGGGAATTTTTATATGATAAAATGAAAACTATTAGAGAAATATCAATATCAATAAATATGACCACACTAACATATAAAAAGTTTTCTCAAGAAAGGACACTATAGATGAAAATCAAAAGCAAGCTACAAACTGAAAGAAATATTTGAAACCAATACTAACAAATAAATAGTATAAAAATGTATTCAAAATATCTATAAATCAATAACAAAGAGAACAATAATCTAAGAGAAAAGTGAGCAAAGAATATATATAAAGTGGCAATTCAGAAAAGAAATAAAATATATGGACTAATAAACAAATGAGATCCTTAACATTACTAATATTCATAAAAATGAAAATAATAAAAAGCTATCCTTTTCACTTACCATATTAATACAATATTGTGAAGAAAATGTAAGTGGGAACTTTCATACAGTGCAGATGGGAGTAAAAATTACTGACTTAGTTTGAAGAATAATTTGGCATTACCTATTGAATCTATAAATAAACATATCCTACAAATCAAAAGTTCTATTTCTAGATAGTTCCCTCCTAAGAGCAGTATTGTTTATAACACATAATATAAACCAGGAAGCAATTTAATCATCGAACAATAAGGGGAATGACTAAACAAAATGTGACCTCTTTATACAATGGAGTATTAGAGAGCAGTTTAAAGGTAATTAGCTATGGAGGCTGGGTGTAGCTCAATGATAGAGTACTTGCCTAGCATGTTCAAGGCTCTGGGTTTTATCCCCAGCACAGAAAATACAAGTAATGTTTCATAAATATATTTTGAAGAACTTCTGCTTCAAGCCAATATGGGTAATAGGGACTGATTTATCTTTCTACCTTAACAACAAGAAATCCAAGCAAAATGTACAAAATATTGAATTTTTAGATATTAGAAAACAATTTAAACTCTAGGTATCAGTTTCCTGTCTGGAGGCAATTTCCAGATCATAGCTGAGGAACCCAGCCTAAGCTAGTAGTTGTGGTGAATGAAGGAGATGGAGACTGGAATTGAGAAGGCCTGGCTGGGTGAATTTGTGAAGCAGAGTAGCAGAAAGAAGGTGATCCACAGAGACAGAGCTCCACAGGCTTGGACACAGGTCTCCCCAACACCCCAGCCTGCAATCTTTGTCTGAACACCTATCTGAAAATGTGTGAGAAGAAACAAGCCTGTAGAAAGAGCAACTGGAATGGACCAGGCAGAAAATTATAAAAACTCATGGGGCTGAGAGTAGTTTGTACTCTGACCACCCAAGTGACAACTCACAAGGCATGGATCTATAATAGCAATATCTTAGTAGTCTGATGAAATTATTCCTAGAATAAGGGTAAGGCAGCTCTGGATTCATTCTAGCATACATAAGGGCAAACCCTAAAAATGATCAACCACCTAACTCCACCAGAAAAAAAAAATCCAGCACCATTTAAATTAAACAAAATCCAGAAACTAAAATGTAGAACTCATAATATCTAATGTTCAAAAAAAAATTATCAAGCATGCAAAGAAATAAGAAAATGTAACCCATAACCAAAGAAATAAATCAGCCTACAGAAACATACTCAGATGTAGCAAAGCTGATGGATCTAGCAGATTAAAATGTGAAAGCAGTTATTGCAAACATTCTCCATGTGTATAAGGTAAAGTAAAATATGGTCATCATGAGTAGAGAAGGAAGCTATAGAAAATCCCAAATTCAATCAGGTGTGGTGGGATACATGCCTGTAATCCCAGCTACTCAGAAAGCTAAGGCAGAAGAATCTCAAATTCAAGGCCAGCCTAGGCAACTTAGTGAGACTGTCTCAAAACATAATAATAATAAAAAGAAGAAGAGGAAGAAGAAGAAGAGGAAGAGGAGGAGGAGGAAGAGGAAAGAGGGGATGGGGAGGGGGAGGAGAAGAAAGAAGATGAAGAGGAAAAGAAGAAGAGAAGCTAAAAATGCAGTTTTGTGTTCCCTGGGTTCAATACCCAGGAGTGAAAAAATGAAAAAAATACACTGTTGTGACTAACAACATAAATGCTACAGAACAGAAAGAACAATGAACTTGAAAGTATTTTAACATAAACAATCCAGAATAAAACATGAAGGGAGGAAAAAGATGGGAAACATGGGAGGGGGCTACTTTAAGAAAAGGATAGAGTGTAAGTTAATTGAGAGATCATATCAAATGGTTTACCATACTTGTAATTAGAGTTATACACAGAAAGAAGGGGGCACAGAAAAATATTAAAAGGAAAAAAATGGCTGAAATTTTTCCTAATTGATTAAAAGTATGTCTGTAGACCCAAGAAGCTCAATGAGCAGCAAAAAGAATGAACATACAAAAGAAAAACCTCCAAGACACAAAATAATTAAATTACTGAAAACCAATACTAGAGAGAAATCTCATGTACTACAGAGAGAAAATCTTTTCTCAAAGAAAGGGGGAAAGACACAAAACAGGTAAGAATGACAACAGAGTCTCATCAGAAAATATGAAAGTCAGAAGAAAGTGAAGAAATATCTTTAAAATACTGAAAGAAAAATTTTTCGAACTATAACTCTGTATTAGTGAAAATCTCTTTCAAGGGCCGGGGATTTAGCTCAGTGGTTTTGCCGCCCGCTGCGCAAGTGCAAGAACCCAAGTTCGATCCCTGGTACCAAAAAAAAAAAGAAAAACAAACAAAAAAGAAAATCTCTTTCAAATATGGGGAAAAAATTAAGACTTTCAAAGAGAAATCAAAAATCAGAAAATTCATTTCCAGGAAAGCTGCATCACAGAAAATATTAAAGGAATCTTTTCAAATCAAAAGAAAAATAACTTAAGAATCCGCAGCCCTTCCCAACTTCCTTTCAAAGAGTACAGGATTTCCAGGAAGCCAAGTAATAACTTTCCAGTGGAGAAACTTGACAAGTACTCCATCAGCCAGGTGACCAAGGCTAACACCGAGAATGATACATTGTATCGATCGCACATACTCTTGATATAGTGTGATAAGAATAATGCTTTATCTCTGTGGTCATTTTTTTTCAAGGCCCATAGACTGAGTCTAAACATGAGAAAAGCATCAGACAAATGCCTTAGGCTGCTCAGGTGCTACAACAAAAAGACCACAGATTGAGCGGCCTTAACAACCAACATTTATTTCTCACAGTTCTGGAGCCTGAAATAGTCAAGATCAAGATGTCTGCAGATCCCATGTATGGAGAAGGCCTGCATCCTGGTTCAGAAACAGCCACCTTCTCATTGAATCCTCACATCGTGGAAAGGAACAACTCTGAATTCCTTATTTATAAGGCCATTAATTCCACTGAGGTGAGCTCCACTGTCAATGACCTATTCTCCCAATGGTCCCACTTCCAAACACCACATTTGGGGTTCAGATTTCAACATATGAATCTGGGAAGGAAGCAAACATACACTAGAGTGGTGTTGTAAAAAATACCAAACCAGTACTTCTCAAAGCAGTCATCAAAAACAAGGAAAATCAGAGAAATTGTTCCAAGCAAGAGGAGACTAAGGATACATGATGACTAAGTGTAATGTACGGCCCTGGATAGGATCCTAGAACAGAAAAGGGATATTATAGAAAAACTAAGTAAATCTGAATAAATTATAGGCCTTGTTAATAATAAAATATCAGTGCTTTTTCATTAATTGTGACAAATGTCACCATACTAACATAAAATGCTAAAAATAGAAACTGGGTATATGAGAAATTGTACTGTCTTTGAAATTTTTCTGTAAATCTAAAGCTATTTTAAAGTTACAAATTTGGAGCTGGGGATTTAGCTCAGTGGTTCTGGCTCTTGCTTTGCAAACACAAGGTCCCGAGTTC